TTGCCTCATCTTTTGCCTATAGAGCTATGGGTTTGAATTACTAACCTTGGGCACCAGTTTACCTTTCAAAGGTAGAATGTGTTTTAGGGTACAGAAAAGACCTCACATCTCAAATAAAATTAAAAACCCAAACCAAACTCCCTGCCATCAAGTCAATTCCGACTCATAGAGACCCGACAGGTCAGAGTAGAACCATCCTTGCGGGATTCTGAGGCTGTCTGTCTTCTCCTGTGGAGCGGCTGATCGATCATTTGGCACTGCTGATGGTGGTCAGCAGTTGCTGCCCAACACTAACCACAACAAGAGGGCTCAGTCAAATTTAATTTAACTTTGCAAATTTTATTTATGACGGCTTAAAAAAGACAAAGACAAGGGAGGCCTTTGGCAGGAGGTCATAATAGCGCCCAAGGGTGTGCTGAGATGGAGAGCTTTTAAAAGCACTAGGCAAGGCTAGGGAAAGTGTCACAAAAGGGTGGTTGGTTGTAGATCAATACATCTCAGTTGTAGGTGGGACTACAGAGGGGGAACAGGACCATAAGTGGGATCCTACATTGTATTATGCAGATGAGCTTACATGATTGGCCAGGGCCTTCTGACTAAAGGAGTCAGGGCACGACTCAGAACTAATCAACCCTTAGTGTGGTGAGCTCCATCAAGGGCATACCCAGGCTAGTCCCTAAGGATGTAGCCCTCCCAGGGCTGGCACAAAAAAAAGTGAAGGTAATACCACTTTTCAATGTACTCTACCTGAGCGGAAGACTGTTTACTTCCTTGGTCAATAGTTCAAAGAATTCAATGGAGACTTATTTCATGTGGGGATTCTGTGAATGGTTTTGGGCTTCTATTGTCCTCAGTAACCTTCTGTAACCAGGGTGCTGAGAATTAAAGCTCTTATACAAATGGTTAATATTGTTGCACTTTTTTTTGTGTGTGGTTTAGAGTTTTAATCAAATAGAGCATACAACAGAGTAGAGCTAACTGGACTCTGGTTCTCAGCACCAGGAATAGGACTCAATATTCCTTCTTTTAAAAATAAATGGATTGAAAAATGATAGACAATCATTAGTATTCTGCATCATAATTAGGCACTAATAAAAAATAGTCCGCCTAAAGTGACTGCTTTTTATTAATTTCAGGTAAACCAAGGGGAAGGGAGAAGGAAATTGATTAGGCTAAGAAACTACTGTCATGTCCTTCTCAGGTCTCTTGGATTCTCTAGACAAGAGTCCTCATCTTTCTGATCTTTACCAAAGTTCCTAGTCTGAAAGCAGAGATTCTAGAGCCCCTTCCTTTTGAGAGGTATGCCTATGAAAAGAGTGGGGCTTAAGGAAATATATTCTATAAGTCATGTAAGAATGCTTTCCAGAGAGTGATCTGATTCTATAATGATAATAAAGGCATCAAGGGAATGTGAGGTCAAAATAGACCTACTTTTCTCTTGTTTTTCTTTTCAACTCTAGAAAGCTAATGCATATAGAAATGGAACTGCTGAATTTCAGGTAACAGCTGCCTCCACGCCAGTCTCATACACTGGTGATGAATCAGAGTTGAAAATCTGAGCACCTCGGTTTGCAGAAGGTTAAGGAAGACAGTAATAGACCCAAATCCATTTGCAGCGTCCCCACAGAGATTAAGCTCCCATTGAATTCCTTCAGGGGTCCTCAAACTATGGCCCGCGGGCCACATGCTGCCCGCCGAGGACATTTATCTGGCCTGCCGGGTGTTTTTCCCT